CCTCTCCTTTTTTAGTGCACCCCCCTTTTAACACCGTGTAAGACATATTAGTTTTATTGTTCTCAACTTTCATGTTTATCTTTCTAATTAAAGTTTAACACAAAAAAATGGAATACATTATTGTAATGAATCCTGTCAATAATGAAAAGTTACAGACAAACACATTTGATCATCACCAGCTCGATGAATTGTAGTATCTTAGTTACTGCTGGAGATTTCAGCACACACAATGTCCCACTGGCAGTAGTTCAAGATTCTATCATAACATCAACTCGACATGTAACAGATGGGCTTAAGTGCATAGCAAATTAAATCAGCTAATGGAGGTCACGTTTATTGCCGGCACCCATCTGGATACAGAAACCATTATTTGCTATAATATAAACATAAGTTCATAGAAAAACATTATTTTTTGATGTACAGTTTTTGGCCACTAATTACTCTGAAGATTGTTCATTCTCTATCAATAACAATGAATTTGTCATCAAACTTATATTTTAGGATGTTATTATGGCCAACTCTTATTACATATTAGCATATCTGTCCAGCACATAGAAAAGGGTAAATTAAGGAGATGTGTGCTTAGTGGAAAAATTTGGTTTAGCTGTAGCAATTCGAAATTCATCAAAGTTCTGGTGTTCCAAATTTAATCCAGGTCCGACGACTTTCGTATCTATTAATTTGTAGGTAGCAGCCATCATTTAATTCTTAGATTTAATTTAATTACAGAAATATATGACAGATCACACAAGAATAAATTATGCAATTCGTATTAAAGTTATGTTCACCAGCCAGGCAGCCACTAACCCGAGAGAACATAAAATATAACTATGACAGCGCAAACAAAAACAATGGTTAAATGCAAAACAAAATAGAATGGTGACAGCAATAAAATAAACATAATCCCAATACGGGGAGCAGTAAGAAAATATAAAGCAGCTCTTATTATAAATATCCATTTGCTCAGATACCAAAGGAACACATTTCTAATGTTTAATGTGTAATTTACTACTAATGTTTAAACCTCCAAATACACATAATATGTCAACTGCGGTGGCAAGAATTAAAATATAGTTACAAAATCTCCATCAAGTTCTTGATTGTAGCAAAAATATCCTATGGTAAAGGATCCCACAACAAACTGTTTGTCCTTAATAGGTAATTGTCTATACTGTTGGGCAATCTAAGCCTTTCTATGTATAGAATTTAGATATAATAATACCTAGTGATATTTACACACATATACAGGCTTCAGGGACCCTGTAGTTGTTTGTTTTGAGTGGTGACATAAACACTTATAAATGGCAGATGGCAAATAACGAGATAAAAAATATTAGTATAATAATACACACTATAAAAACCAAAACAATACAATTATTATCGAATTGCTACACTATATAGTATTTCAAATCAACAAGTCAATTCATTTATTTGATAAGCCGAAGGGTCACCATTACTCGCTTCTTTCTTTTATAACCTTATTAACAATAAAACAGAGATACAACTTCCCAGCAGAACCCAGCATACACAAAAACAATATGGCACCCCTTGCTTTAAGGAAACGTTTGTTGGCCTATTAATCACTAATATTGATAAGCCAACAAATGTTTGCTTGAAGCAAGGGGTAACATTCTTTTACATTTTATTCTTTTAAATGTTGTTCTTATTTAATGATTTTAGTATGGAAGTGCTTTCTGTGAGACCTCAGACGTTGGCTCTTGTTGGCTGGCAAATATTCTGGATTGTTTTGTAATATTTATGAACTAACAATTCATTGTTCCTATGGTCCTTTGAAGCCATCTGGATTCTAGTATTTTCAGGTGGGAAAGTCCATCTTAATAACTCCTCATTGTTCCTTTTAATCCTTATACACGTATGTCTCAGGGCGAAACGAAAAGGTGAGGCTTCTCCTGAGGCTACTTTGACTTTTGTCCAGAAAAGTTACAAGCAGTGGTGGGAAAAATCCATGCCAGTCTTCCGACTTGATAAGGTTCAGACTTTTTTATTTGTTTTGATTCTGAATAAAACAAATGGAAAGGCGGCAGCAATAAAATAAAATAAAAATAATTCCAATATGTGGAGCTGTGCGAAAATATTAAGCAGCTCCGGTTATAAATAACCGTTTGGTCGGATACCAAAGGTACACACTTCTAATGATTAATCCTCCAAATAGTTACAACATCTCCATAAAAGCCTTTGAATGTAGCAAACAAATATTTTATATTGTTCATGCAGTTGCAATTCTCTTCAATAGATAATGGTCTATACATTAAAATTATGAAAGAATAGGATGCATAGCAGTAGACTTGTGCATTGTGAACATTTCCGGTTCTTCCAAATTGATATGGTTCTGATTTTGAAATGTTTTAGTAGATAGTAATGTGGATCAAACATTTTTCAGTTCAGTTAAATTTTGGATTGATTTGAATAATGTTGGATACCTTCTGTGTTCCTTTAACAAACAAAAACCTGTCAAATTGGTGATTCAGAGTTGGTGTTAAGTGGCAGTGGCTACTAGACTTTCGGTTCTAAAGAATTTTGAGCACAGTTCAATTTATAATTTTAAGTTTCAAAAGGATCAAATTTTGATTCTTAGCGATCCTAATCGCCAAGTCTTTAGCGCAGTACAGTTCATATATCTTTATTAAATATTAAAAAATGAAAGCAGAGGCTTTTACCCTCTTAAGGGTAAGGCTATCAAAACACACAGGTGCACAAATATTACAAGCAGATCAACTAACACAAGCGTTATCCCAGGAAGCAGCACTCCCACAGATTTAGTACAGTAACTGTCATGTTGCCAAATATGAACATTGGTTCTCCAATTGGTCCCAATATAGTGTTCTGCTACTGTTCCTATCTACCTATACACTGATCAGCCACAACATTAAAACAACCTGCATAATATTGTGTATCATGTAATATCCCCCTTGTGCAGCAACAATAGCTTTGATGTGTTCAAGCACACACTCCAAAAGAGCTCTGAGTGTGTCCTGTGGTATCTGGGACCAAGACATTAGAGATCCTTTAAGTCCTGCAAGTTGCGAAGTGGAGCCTCCGTGGATTGCTTTTGTTGTTCCAGCACATCCCACAGATCCCACAGATGCTCAATTGGATTGAAATCTGGAGAATTTGGAGACCAAGGCAACAACTCGAACTCTTTGTCATGTTCCTCAAACCATTCCTGAACAATAAATAAAAGATTCTGAAGCTACCAAAGGAAAGCGACAGACTATATGAGAGGGAATAAAAACAATAAAATAAAATAGAATAAATATGCTCTAACTGGAAATTTAGGATTTCACCTAATCCTATAAAAGAGAGAATTAAAACCACCCTAAGGTGCAGGTATCCAGGAGCTTGAAGATAGAAATTATCTAATACTGATATAGAGGAAATGCAGTATATATGGCTTTAGATGTACAGTCTTATACACAGAATTATAAACCCGAATTCAAATTAGCATAAATTGGCAATATATAAAAATTCTGTGTGTCTCACAATGGAATTACAATTCAGTACTAAAATGATAAATTGTCCCAAGTAAATAGTCCTTACAGAAAGATACAAAGTCAGAAATTAGAACAAATGGCATTTTAGTATAGATAGACTAAGTGCCTAAATAAACAGTCACCTTGAAATAATATTCACTGGAAAACAAAGTTGATAGATAAAAATATGCAAAATTTATTTTGATAAAAAACTTTAAAATAGAAAAATGACGGTCAAATATTGAGGTAGGAGTACAGTCTATTGTGTCTCAGATGGAAAAAAGTTCAAAACCTGTGATCCAGACCCAGATGGGTTTGGATGGAGATAGGAAATCCTTCTCTTCTCCCTCCTTGCAGCCGGTGAGGACAGCGTCTGAGTCCCTGTACCTTCCGTCGAAGGGTGGAGCTGGAACTCGCGCGAGAGAAAACCGATGTGGCTGGATACCGGGTCTGGAGTGCTGTGATCCACAGAAAAGATTGTAGAGACCTGGCTGACCCCTCCCAAGTTCAACCGCAGAATGCCTTGCCTTACGCATTTCGTAGGGTTAGCCCTACTTCATCAGAGGCTTGTACTCTCCCTTATCGGCAGTAGTTTATATACCTTAAGTAAATTACTATCAATCAACTGGTTTTCAAATTTTCGTTACATTTTTTTTTTTATTCTTTATTTTATTTGTGCATGAAAAATCACATATAACACACCAAGCCACAACAGCCAGAGCATGCAGCGTTTGACAAAGATTTGCATTAAGTAGGCAGTGGAAAAAACTTTGCACATTTTTAGATTATTATCACTTAACACTTTTTTTGTACATAAACATGCTTACTAAGAACAGGTTGAACCTAAATGATTTCTAACTGCGTTGCCCCAGGCTACTGCATATTGGTGAATGTCTAAGCTCACAAGAAAAGTTTTGCACATTTTTTTTAGGTTATTATCGCTTGACTCACATTTTATACATAAACAGGCTTATTAAGAACAGGTTGAACATATATGATTTCTAACTGCGTTGTTCTTGGCTACTGCAGACTAGTGAATGTCGAAGCTCACATGAAAAACTTTGCACATTTTTATAGATTATTATCTCTTGACACACATTTTATACTTAAATATGCTTACTACTCTTGATTTAAGTAATCATAAATATGCTGCTTGAGTGTAGTAGGCAAGGTAGAACTTCACTTTATCATGTTAGGCTAGATTAGGTTAGACATTGCACCTTAGATCTGTACATGCAGGTCAGTGTGTGTAATTTGTTGTATACTAGGTAGTTGTGGTGACTGTTACATGAGTGTGTGTTGCCAAGGTGAGTATCTAGTGTGTGTTCGTTAGCATGCAGGCTAAAGTGAGGTCGCTTATGTTATATCTCTGGCAGCGTTATCATTGGGCTACTGTACCACATCAGCAACAAATCAATTAGCAAAATCAGAAGGCAAAATAAAGATAACTTAGCACTTAATATTTAAAGCATATGGTTTGGTTCTCAAGTTGTCAGAGAGGGGGTTTGCTTATATGGTAGTCCCTAAAGAAAGTTCAGCCAATTCCTTTAGGTGGCATAGCTGTTTCTCCGCTTGGGTATGTGGTGTTCCAGAGCATGGTGCTTCCTCGGCCCCAGGCCTGCATGTACCACTGACTTGGGTTCGTCGAGGGACCAAGTCTGTCCCCTGCAGGGGGTGGGCGAGAAGAGTGCGTGGCAATCTCCGCTTGTCATAGCTGCTTTTCCGTCCGTGTGGTCGGTGCTTCATGGTCTTGCCTCGGATGGCCTCGGACGAGGTGAGCGATCTTTGGATTGTGGAGACTTTGTTACAGGTTTTGCGCTCTGAGGAGGTTTTGCCGTGCATGGCTGCTCCTGTCTCTGCGTTCCCTTCCGCGGTGTAGGCTTGTATGTTATGGTGGCTGTTGTGCATGCTTGTAATTTCAGCCAGAAGTTCTGGAAGATTTGGTCAATCGAGATTTGGAGAGATCAGTGGAATCGCTGAATGCTCTCTCGGTTGCATTCGCCGTCTCTCCCCCACTCTGTCCCCACTAGGCCTCAGCCGGCCGCCGCTGTTCTCGGAGCGTCAGGATGTAGATTGAAGTGCCCAAAGGTAGGTTAGGGCTTCCCCAATCATGGGGAACACTTTGTGTAGAGGTCTCCGGTGAGTTGACCCAGGTAATCACCGGGAAAGCATCATTAGCAGCGGGAGCTCATGCGATGCACGACCTGCCAGCTTGCAGTCCAAGCTCCGCCCCTCGTTATATTTTTTAAACATTTACAGAATCATGAAGCATATATTACTCGGGTGAAAAGGATGAACAAAAATGTATAAATAAAAAATAAAAGATTTGATGTAGTGCAAAAGTTGAAATTAACAGTTTAACAATTATTTCTAGCCTATTTACTAACTATTTTCAACCTGGTGTGTGATGAAGATGGTAAATGTTACATAAAAATAAATACAATAGATACAATTACTAGTGTGAAATATACTTATAAATTAGATCAACAAACAGGAGAGATGGTAAGTTACACTAAAAATTTAATTTTAGCAACTAATTTTATCTTGCAAGTACTCTTAACTCATATCATACTCTGAGTATCATATATACATTGTGCACACCGTAAATGTTTGCACACAAAGTGTAAATATTTTCAGCTTAGTTGGTAGGGAGTGATCCAAATAGCTGGGAATAAGTACACGTTAATGTGAAGAGGCTTATAAGTAAAGCAAATATTACAGATACGCTATAGTGGGGATTCACTTTGGCGACTGTTAGCAATTTTCAGATATTGTTCACACATCTATGGATACTTTAGATATCATATGCATATCATGTATATTCCAGTGTATATATAGCTGTGAAACACAAATTGTATAAAGGGAACCTGGTAAGAAATATATCAAAATAAATAAAAAAAAATAATAAAAAGGGAGAAGAAAGGATAGTTTGAGATATGGGTTGGAATGTGTGGTGTGATTACAATAGAATACTACATAGCAATATCTATTAGAATACCCAGATGTCCCTTGAGGGATTCCTTATCCCTAATTAGTAACATAAACGTGAAGATGTATTTTATGTAAGACAGACTATAAAATGGTGAAAGGAATAAGAAGTGGTGGTGGTGTGACTTCCACATGTAGAGTTCTTCTTAAATCTAAGATCTTACCTCGCAAAAAATAAATTAATTAAAACCACCTTAAAATATATATGGTGGATCCTAAAGCAGATAATATAATAGAATAGAATAAGATATTATAAAATATAAAATCCGAAAAATTATAATAGATACCAAGAAAATAGTTGGAGGGATTAAGCACAATAAAATACAGGATGGTAAAAATAGGAGATAAAAAATGAGAACAAAGGTACAGTGGGAAAATAGACTATCTCAAAAAGCTTTATCTTAAATCTTACTTGGGACAATTTATCATTTTTGTACTGAATTGTAATCCCATTGTGAGACACACAGAATCTTTATATATTGCCAACTTATGCTAATTTGAATTCTGGTTTATAATTGTGTGTATAAGACTGTACGTCTAAAGCCATATATACTTCATTTCTTTTATATCAGTATTAGATAGTTTATATTTTCAAGCTCCTGCATTCCTGAACAATGTCTGGAGTGTGGCAGGGTTAATTATCCTGCTGAAAGAAGCCACTGCTATCAGGGAACACCATTGCCATGAAGGGGTGTAAGTGGTTTGCAACAATCTCTAGGTAGATGGTACATATCAAAGTAACATTTACAGGAATGCCAGGACCCAAGGTTTCCCAGCTGAACATTGACCAGAGTAAAACACTGCCTCCTCCAGTCTGCCTTTTTCCCATAGTGCGACCTGACCCCATCTCTTGCCCATGCAGGTAAACAAAGCACATGCAACCTTTACCTAAAATACTATGGGATTTATTAGACCAGGCAACCTTCTTCTATTGCTCCATTGTCCAGGTCTGATGCTCATACCCCTACTGAAGGCATTTTTGCAGTGGACACAGATCATCTTGGTCTTTGGCTACGCAGCCCAATATGAAGCAAACTGCAATGCATTGCGTGTTCTGACACCTTTCTATCATGGCCAGCATTAGGCTTTTCAGCAATTTGAGCTACCATCTTCCCGAATTACCAGTAGTTCAGTCTGGCATGAATGCATGCCAGGCTGCCTGTCAATAAAGCACGCCAGCCCACTGAGGGCAGGGCTGTTTTAATGCTCTCTGCGTGGTCCTAGTCCCCTTAATGCAGCACAAGGAGAATGTGCTCAAGCTAAATTTCTTTGCAGAAAGTTAGGATGGCGGATGGGACCCAGAAATTCTGGGACCCAGAAAATGGTAGGGAAATGCTCTACACATTCACGGTTTATTTTTTGTATTATTTAAATCGTATTCAATTGATATATGTACATTTCTTGTTTGTTTTATTTTCTGCCTTTCTATCTTTTCTTAAATCCAAAAATTAAATCTAAGCACAGTGAAGGCAAAACCAAATTCTAAATGTTTCAGCTATTTACTTTGTGAATTATGCATCTCACTTGAGAATTATTGACTTCTCCAAATAGCCCGGCAGAACAATAGCTCTAAGGAGTTTTTCCCCTTTCATTATACGTTTCTAAGCACAATTCTGTTTTGTAATATTTTTACTATTGTTCATCTAACCAGAAAAATTTTAATTCATCCTCAGTGTTATTCAAAACAAACTAAGACAGAATTCCCGACACTTATTCAAAAGTTATTTTTTTTTCTCTGATCTTGTTTAAGATCTTTTCTGATGGAATTATGCAAACAAGCTCCTAATCGATTTTTTTTTTTTTTAACTTTGCTAGGATTGAACTTGTGCAACAGCTGTAAATCAGAACTACATAACAGACTTATGAGTCAGGTCAGTGCTCCATTTGGAAATAATGAGTGGACAAATATTGGATGAGAAATTTCAGTCAATTACTGTCTATATACATAGAAACATAGAAACATAGAATGTGACAGCAGATAAGAAACTCCCTTACTGTGTTAACCTCTACCACTTCAGCTGGAAGGCTATTCCATGCATCCACTACCCTCTTGATATTATTTTTAAACCTTTGCCGTTCTAATTTAAGACTATGTCCTCTTGTTGTGGTAGTTTTTCTTCTTTTAAATATAGTCTCTGTTAAGACACCCCTGGTGTCTTTAAGAGAAACCGCCGTTTAGTTAACCTTCCCCATTCACAATATTAGTAACTCCGTTCGCATAGACTGCAGTATACGAACCACCATCAGGGGAAGCGGTAATCTCCCGACCGGGATCCGTGAAAGGCTCCAAACTCCCGAACAGAAATCCACGAACCGCCGCTAACCGCCGAATGAAGATATCCACCAAGCGGCTTTCGGTTCCAATAATCAGTCTCTAGGCATCAATAGTAAATCCCCCCAATAACGAGACAGAAGCTCCGCATTGAGGGTCAAACAGGATCTGGCTTTACTGTGGACTACCCGCCTGTATTTATGCAGGTCTCCCACTTGGTGGACACTCCCCTAGGGGACCAAATGGGAGACTGTAATGACAGATAGACATGGGGACATTTCAGACATACAGATGTAAACTTTTCCCACAATGCAATATGGTTTCCTCCCCTCTGCCCTGGAGATAATTGAGAAGTAATTCAATTATCTCCAGGACAAAGACAAATCACCATCTTAAATAAAATGCCAGAAAACACACAAAATTATATAATTCTACAACTACCGAACATTTCACATTTGTATCACACATCCCCAGATAGCCTGGATCTGAGGGCATATTATTAGCGAATAGCGCTCAGATCCCACACACATAGTTCAATCGCCATGGAGTCAAAGTTCTTACAGTCTTTCGGTATGCGATTGACTCCATGGGAAGGCTATCTGGGTTAAGGCTTTTCGTGTGATTCCAAACTCCCGAACGGCTGGTGTTCACATGCTTTCGTCGATGGAGTAGGGCGACCCGTTGTTTCAGCGGTGTTCAGCGGAAAAAGTGTCAGTTTTTAGTTCCATGAAATCAGTGCCGGACACCGCTGGTCTTTCGTGTGTTTTAAAATGGCCGCTGCCTTGTGGTCGACATACGAATGACGGTCACCCTGAATTCAGTTTAATTGAGAATAGTGATGTCGCGAACCGCTAGCGAACTTGCCGCGAACGGTTCGCCGCGGTTCGTGGCGAACTCCGGTCAGCTGACATATCCCTGCCAATCTCTGGCAGACCCTCCCTCCCAGACCCTCCTACTTCCTGGACAGCATCCATGCTGAAGGCAGCTTCAACATGGATGCTGTCCAGGAGGTGGGAGTGTCTGGGAGGGAGGGTCTGCCGGAGATTGGCAGGGATGTGTCAGCTGACCGGAGTTCGCCACGAACCCGTTCGCGGCAAGTTCGCGAACGGTTCGCGACATCACTAATTGAGAAGTGTCTGCGGTTAACCACAACCTTCTAATTGGGATCAAGAGGTTAACCAGCAGCACACTTCTATCCTGGGTAGCCATCCGTTCTGTAGATTTGTTCGGTAAAAAAAGAGTCATTCGTATGGCTGGGCTATAGAAACAGCCATTTACACGAAGGAGGGCAGAAATAAACAAATCCACCACAATAGACAGACAGATGGTTCTGTCACAGTCTCCTCCTTTACTGTGTTGATTCCCTTTATGTATTTAAATGTTTCTATCATATCCCCCCTGTCTTGTCTTTCCTCCAAGCATGTTAAGATCCTTTAACCTTTCCTGGTAAGTTTTATCCCGCAATCCATGAACCAGTTTAGTAGCCCTTCTCTGAACTCTCTCTAAAGTATCAACATCCTTCTGGAGATACGGTCTCCAGTACTGCATACAATACTCCAAGTGAGGTCTCACCAGTGTTCTGTACAATGGCATGAGCACTTCCCTCTTTCTAATGCTAATACCTCTCCCTATACAACCAAGCATTATG